CCGTGACCGAGTGTTGGCTTGTGAATGTGAATGTAGTCACAATGAACCTTGTACACCAATATGCCACCAATATGCAGTGCAGCTGCTTTTTTTGGTAACTGGAGATTATGATTGAAGTTTACTGTATGTGAAGACGTCTTACCAAAGTATGAGTTTGTGCATATTACTATCTCATGCTGTGTCAATGTTAAATAAAAAGTAATACTGAAAACCAGAAGTTATTAAACTCTTAGTATTATTTGACTATGCTCACATGCAAAGTGAGGATGACAGCCGTGTGATGAACCACATTCATTGTTCTGTCATCTTTGATGCAAGCAGTGTGCTTTTAAGTGTCCTTTGAAAATTCTAGTCTATAAGGCTGGCTTTAATAATGAGCAGAAGAAGGGGATGTGAAGGGAAACCCCAGTTCCCTTCTGGATTTGTTGTGGCAAACTGAAGCAAAACCCACTGATCTACCCCCCAAAAACCTGAAAGAGTGAGAATTGACAATACCATCATACAACAGACATCCACCACTCTCCAATATTATATGCTTGTAAATTATATGAAACATACACCCAAATATGCAATGGAAACTGAACTCAGTAACACTGTAAGCTAGTGTAAAGTGTCTGGAATACTGCAGTGAAAGAATCAAGAGAATATCTTGTTGAGTACACGAGAAAATGCAATTTAAAACACTTATGAAAGTAGCTGGCAACTGCAGAGTTCAGGGTTGGTTATGACTACATGCGGTGACGTCAGAGCCTGGTTGTACGGCCTTCAATCTATAGGGGGCAGTGCCTCTGCCCCAGCCTGCCGCCACCGTCCTCGCCCAGGCAGACAGACACGGAGATGGTTTCAGAGGCCCCTGCGTCACCTCTCCCTGCTCGCCTGGCCAAGCCGACAGAGGCTGCGCCCGGGCTACCAGGGACAGCCGCTCCAGTGCGGGGGGGCTCTGCCCGCACTGGCTCCCACTGCCCTCCTCACCAGCCCGGGTGACTGTGGACGGGCTGCTGCCTGGCACTTCACCAGGGGGGGCCTCCGCCCCAGCCTGCCGCCGCCGCCCAAATGGACGGGCATGGAGACACCTCTGGGGGGCCCCGCATCACCTCTGCCCGCTCACCCACTGAGCTGAGAGAGGCTGCAGCCGTGCCGCAGGGGACAGCCGCTCCAGCACGGGGGGCTTTGCCTGAACCTGCCAGCACCGTTACCCCACGACGCCGGGTGATCGCCTCCGGAGCCCCCCACCTCACCACTTCCTGCTTGCCCGCTGGCAGCCCTGCAGTGTCCCTTGCTCTATGCCCAGAGGAAGGCAAAAAATCTCCAGGATCCCTGGGGTAATCTGACCTGAAGGAAAATTCCTTTCTGACCCAAAGTGGCAACTGGCATTACCCTGGACATATAAGAAAAGACCACAAGAGCCCAGCACTGGCTCATCCCTTCCTGCCCTACCTCTCACAATATGCCTAAATCCGATATGCTTAAATCCATAGTGAGTAATAAAATCAGCATTTTTGCATATCTATCTTAAACTGGCTCCTAAAGCAGTTTACAGTGTTAAACTCAATTGTTAAGAACACAGACTAAAAGCTGCAATAAGGTCACCTATAAAAATCATAAACTTACAAGACATGAAAAGGCAGCAAGAGGGGGAGAACCATGATTCAGCTTCAGTAAAATTTTGCTGTTAACATCTGTAGCAAATCTTTATTTAGAAAATAAAAGTATTTTTAAAAGGAGGCTTTGGCTTAACCTTATTGCCCAATATCCCTCGTGCATCCAAAGAATGGCCCACAGCACCTTCTGTAACATCCAGCTCCAATGTGACTGGAAGCAGAAGATATCCATCCTACATTATACTTTAGAAAGGGCACTGTGGGTCAGTGTAGCACTGAGACTGCTCCTGTAATGGCACAGGAAAGCAAACACGCTAGGTCATTGTGCTGTTCTGATATTTAGAGCTTCTGGCTCAATGATCATAAGCTGTCAACACTTGTGACATTTGTACACAAGAAAAACACTGATGCCTGACAAAATCAGGCAATTACAGACTCAACATTTAGGCAAGATAATAAATTACAGCACTCCAACAGACATCCCAAATTACAATGGAAACATAAAAACATCCTACCTGCAGGTCAAAGATCCCAAATTACAATGGAAACTTAACAACATCCTACCTGCAGGTCAAAGAACTTGCTGTACCGGCGATAAATGACCTCTGTAGAGCCACTGGACCAAATGACTTTGATAATATAAACCTGTAATGAAGAAAGAAGATAATTTTTAGATAGATTGCATTAAATGGAACCATTATGATGGCTCCAAGGTCCCAGTAATGAATGAAGTTATATTTCAAATGCATAAAGTTGGATCCTACTACTCTGGCTCAGGTAAGTGGAACAGAGTGTCAGAAATATAATCTGTTAAATTTCATATACCAATAATACCAGCCAAAAAAATATGCCACCATTAGTGAATCAAAAAAGCAGCTGCTGTACCCATGGATATGTGGAAACAAGGATGCGTCCTCCATACCACTACATCCACAAGACTGTTTCAACTGGCCATAAGGGACCATAATAGAGAAGTAAAAATATACACAAGGCCAATAGTTCTGAAATGCATACCTGTACTGCTCAAATAATATTTCTGGGTTAAAAAAAACTACAGTTATACACAGCTGACTCCTAGCATATATGTTTTCCTATATCTAGGTCTCAGAAAATGAATACGTGTGCTTTCTTCACCAGTATCTAGGAAAACCATACAGAAAGGTACCTTTGCGTTGTTTACAAACTCAACTTTCATTTATTTTATGCATACTATTAATTGTCCATCTTTCTCACTGAGACTCAACACAGATTACCGAGTTAGCCAGTACAATCACCAGGATGCAACATTCAGTAATTAATGAATTAGAATTACGACTGTAGAAGTCTGGAACCAACCAGAAATCTAAAAAATAGAACTGGAGCAAAGCATAAATTGACACATTAACTGATGCAAAAATTACACAGTAGGCTCCTACTTACAGTAAACTATACACAGTAGTATAGATTACAGTCCCTAATTGTTCAGCCAAGTAACTTTGTAACCTCTTTTGTACAGTGCAACCCTCTTGCCTGCATAGAAAAGCCCTCTTGAGTAATTTGGTTTTGCACAGTTTGCAGAAAGCCAAGAGGGGGGGGAGCCTTCCTGACCTCCTCAGGCAAGCCGTTCCATAAGGTGGGGGCACCAACAGAGAAAGCATGTGTATGGGCAGTTATTGATTTACCCCTTTGCAGGTTGACACCTGTAGGAGGCCCTGCTCAGATGAATGTTATGGCAGAGCACAGGGGGAGAGGTGGCCCCACAGATAGGAGGAATCAAAGCCATGTAAGACTGACAAACACTGATCCATCAAATTAAACGGTCTCTACAAAGCAAGCCATGCCACTGAGAAAATGTGGTTTTAAAGTGGTTACTAAACTGTTGCTTTCAGACACAGTCAGCCCTTAGGACTAATATTCTAGAGTTATTTACACATATTGTTTCTATGCCTAGTTTCCAAATTGAAAAGGCACTTCGCTTCACTATTTTGGCCTCTTCTCCCTAAGCCTAGTTGCAAAATTAATCACCACTCAATGATCCAAGATGTCTGGTGCATGGTGACAAAGAGCAGAGCCTACTATCCAGCACTGCTGAGAAGGTTTAGAAATATACGGAATCTGTTTCTTGGGGGAAAGAGATCAAGTTCTCCTGAGTTAGCTAGTTTCCCACCCACACACAAACTCCACTGGCCTGGTAAAACTGGAAAACATTTAGAGATCATCTTGGCTGTCAGCCATGCCACATAATGACCATATATCCCCCTATAAAGTCGAAGTCGAAGCTTAAAGATCTGCTGCCTTTTCTTCCTTTCTGTTTGTTCACCTCTTGAAAACAAGCAAGTTGCATTGAAGATCTGTGGCACTATTTTACCCATGTCCCACTAGCAATTGAGAGAGGGATTATTTGTAGCAAAAAAAAAAAAAATCTACTTCTCCATGAATTTTCACATGCTTTTTCCTATGAGGTTAACTTAATTGTACCTCAGCATTTCAGAGGGCCTACCTGGACTATTGCTTGTTAGCATGCTACCTTTAACATATTACCACGCCAGCACATATAAGTGCCTTTACAAATGGCCAAGAATACATGCTATACCAGTAAGGGTTTTCCTGCAGCCCATGTCTAATTTGTCCACTGGGAATTTGCCCTCAATCTCAGGATATTGTTTACCATGCTGAGGAGCTATGAGAACAATTTTGGAGTGACTTCATTTGCAAATGGACCAGTGAATGAAATCTCTCTTATTCTTCACCAGATATCTAACTGTAAAAAGATTTTCCCTTTTTCTTGGATGACCTTCCACAGCTTCCTCCACCATTAGTCCTTGGCTCACATATTTTTCTTCCACTTTCTACACACCCATTCCACTTCTTGTCTTCTGGTCCTTCCATGCAGTAATATGGCCCTCACTTCACACATAAAATTGCTGCATGAAGATGGTTCCACATTAAAATGGAAAGTGCTACTTCCCATGTGTACATGTGTTTACACACACACACACAAATATACTGCTGTGCACAGATGCTTTAATTTTCCTTGGCAGGAATGGGCCTCCCAAGAGAATTGGTGAAGCTTTGCTTCTGGCCCACTTCAACCGTAGCAAAGGATAGTATTTAGAAACCCCTTGCAAGGAAGATTTTGACTTTTTTTTCTTTTTTGACATTTTCTAATTGAAAGGAGACAGCCCTGAAAGTAAGATGACCCCCTTAAAAATGCTATACACACACAAAAAAAAATTGGACATAACAGTAATGTGTATGCAAATGTAAGATGGCCTCCTTTTTTATGACATACTTGTGCAAATTCTAGCCTTGCCTTTGAACAAATATTGTATGCCCTTATCTCCACAGGTTTCACTTCACTACTGTGATTTTAAGAAAAGTCTGTCTTACACAAATAATTTTCATACATCTGATTAAAGTCTCAGGTATAACTGTATGCAAGCAGAATAAAGAAGTGGGGGGAGGGGGAACAAAAGATATACAGGCTCTTCCAGCCCCAGTGGAAGTCTCTCTCTCTCTCTAGGCAGGCTGCCAGTAGCAATACATTACTGAAATGCTACAGAATGCTTAGCAAGCCAGAACGTCTGAGGGCTAAAGACCTAAATGATGTCATGCTGACTGCTTTGCAGCAAGCTCTTCTGGTGAAGCGAAGTGTATCTTGGGAGTCCTCTGGAGGAAATGGAACACTTTATTAGCCAGAGATAGCCTGTGTATTCCTAATCACACTGTCGACAACTGTGAATTTCACATCACGGAAAGATGTTAAGAAAAAAAAACATTTATGAGTGTTTTTCATTGATTATTCAGTGATCCATACAACTTATGCATGCTGAAACTGTGGGTTGGTTCAAACACTCACCATTTTGATTGTTCCATACACAGAGTGGGAAACTGGGACTGAACTTGACCAACCACCATGTATTCAATATAATAAATATTATGCAGCATCAGCACATCTCAGGAAGAGGCCCTTTATGCAAGCCCTATGCCTTACTACCAGCAGAGATTACCTGACTGGAAAGCTTGTAAAGGCACCCTATGACTTTTAGCTGCTGGGGGGGATCAATGTGCCACTCTGGAATCACAACAAACAGAAACATGAAACTGAATAGTAATGTTTATTATTATTTCCGCAGTAAGAATTAGAAATGTAGTGAAAACCTAAATTTTCTGGGTCAAACAAGGTTGCCAGGTATTCCCTGGCCACAGGCAGAGAATAGAGGGTAGGATTGCCGGCAATGTTCCCTCTAAGCTGTGGAGTCTTGTGAGCAAAAATTCTACATTAAGGTTGTGAGTGAGCAATTGGGCTACTGCATAAATTAGCTTGCTCTGGAGACATCTTTCCTGAGCTAAGACAAAAACATGTGAGCCGGAGGCTAAAAAATTGTGAGCTAACTCACACTAACTCAGCTTAGAGGGAACACTGGTTGCCGGATCCAGATTGGGAAACTCCTGGAGATTTAGGCATGGAGTCTGGGGAGGAGTGGGGTACAGTGGGGTACAATGCCATCCACCCTCCAAAGCATTCATTTTCTCCAGGGGAACTGATCTCTGTAGTCTGCAGGTGAGCTGTAATTCCAGGGAATCCCCAAGTCCGACCTGGAGTTTGGCATCCATAGAGTGAAATATTAGGTTATCACAATTTTCTTATTCTCAATAATAAAACATTTCTCTTCTACCCTTCACTGGTTTATATAGATAAAAAATGAGGAGTGGCAAAGTATTTTCAATACATGTATATAGTTCAATAAGAAGGATAATATAAAGTTTTCCAAGTGAACAAGACAGACCTATGATTGAGTATACCAAACAGTTCTGGACTTAAATTCTTTAATAGTAGCCCCAGTGCTGCATGGCGAGAGACATGTCTAAAAGCAGTTCGTGATCTTACCTAAGGATGGTGGGGAGGGGAGAAAAGAGAGGAAAATAAATCCCCTGGGCCCTTGCTAGTCCTTGGACACGCATAAAGTAGTTCTTTGGACCCTTGCCATCACCAGTTATTATATAAATTGTTTTAACTTCATTTCTGACTGGAACAACAACAACAACAACAACAACAACAACAACAACAACAACAACAACAATAATAATAATAATAATAATAATAAATTTCATATACCTTCAGGAAATTGAGCGAAGCTTTTAGCCCCATTCCCCCTCCATATTACTATAGCTAAAGCAATGAGACAGACCAATAAAAAGTGACAAATGATTAACATTTCTTCTTTAGTAACAGACTGTGGGAGTTGGAAATGTGTTATGTCCTGAGAATAGACCTGTTGGTTTGGTCACTTCTGATTCAGATTTTAGTCACAGATGAAAAATATATATTATAGGAGAACACAGATATATATAGTGGTCTGATTAAGAGTACTAACTTACAAATATGAAAGAGTAAACACCACACACAACCTTCTCCTACCCGTTACTTGAATACTGCCAGATCAGATATTTGCTTTTGAAGAAAATGCCTAAAGGGTCTCCCATAACATTTGAAAATGCAACATTTAATGCAAGATTTTTTTAAAGCAATATATGTCTAAGCTATATAAATTGTTACAGTAGCTGAGGAAAAAATGAAAAATTATTTCAAAAGGCTGCCAGAACCTGCAAGGGAAACCTCTCCCAGAGATGCTCTCCAAGCCTAAAGACCAGTCCTGTTTGTC